AAATTATTATATTTTCTTTTCCTAAAACCTTAAAGAAATGAAAGAACACAATTGATTGATAAAAGCTCTTCCACGTATTCAAATAAAATAAAAATAAAATTTTACTATAGGTACTTAATTGAAAAGTTGAAACATAAACATTTATTTACAAAACATAATAATTCTCACTTCTCATAAAATAACAAAAATTAAGAAAATAAAAAGTAACATATTTCCTTAGCTAAAAATATAACTAATTTACTCGTATCATAATAATATTATAATTTTATATAATTCTTTAATCATTGAAAATAATCGAATGCATTTATTCCGAACCCTGGATATTAAAAATTATTTGCTCTTCGTTTTTTCATTATAATGGTTCTTGAAATTGTGTACTAGGTATTTTAATTAAATGAAAAACACCTAGGTATTAAATACTAAATTGTTTATTTATATTTGTTTATTCGATACTACCCACAGGTACCTATAATAATGTCTTATCATAATTCATAAAACAATATTAACAATTATATTATATTATTTTATTCATTTGAAATCATAATAACTCCAATTAACTTAATTTTATGGTATGAACCATATACTTATTAACTAGCTCTATGAAATGAACAATCAAAGCTCATCTACGATTGAAATTATTTCTTGATATGGGTACGATAATTATTTATGCCATAATATTAATATTACAAGATAAGTCATCATAAGAGTAATAAATAATAATACTTGTTACTTTATTAGAACGGGGATAATTATAAACAAAATAATATCACTGAAGTGGTTTGTAATCCAACACAAATCATTATAAGTCCATTTCTTTATAGCAGGGCCGCATTTAGGGGAGGGCACCAGTATTATGCTGTTTGAAAGTTTTTTAATTAATGTTGATTTGCATAGATTTATATAATTTTATTTTATTTATTCATCAAGTACCTACATAAATGTGTTGAAAAAACAACTTATATGATGAATTATAAGCAAGATTTAAGTGACATAAATTCAAATGTATCTTTCCGGAATCCGGAGAGAGAATTCAGCAATTACTAAACAATATTTTTAAAAAAAGCACACATTGTATAACAAATATTCTTTTCTGTGCTAAAAATCTAAAAGGTTAATGAGAGGATCTACTTCCCATATTTTAAGAGGGTAGGCCCCTTAGGGGGGGGGGACATTTTTTTCACCGGGGCTTAGGGGGCTCCAATTTTTTTTGCACAGGGGCGCAAAATGTCTAAATGCGGCACTAATAATAATAACACAATGACATGATGACTGATGAATGATGATTGATGAGGAATGCTACCTATAACCTATCCATTGGCAAACGTATAGAACCCTTTACTTATATTTAAAATGTATTATACATTTATACTTATACTTAAAAACCATATCATCACATCACTCATTGGTTCATTATCGTTATCTATAATAATTAATAGGCTTCTTCGGTGCAGAATATTTGGGCCGATCACACCTTTTTTATAACCCATTTGCCCCCCGAAATATTTTTAATAAAAATTCGTTAAAACCATGCAACGTTGCCAAACTGTGTTCTGGATATAATGCAATACGACTTATTACCTTGTACCTAACTAGTAACTATTGTACATATTATCTACCAGTTTTAACTATTTTTAATTTTCACGTTACACTCTTATCGATATTATATTATTATCGAATATCGATCCATTGCACTTCACGGTACCTAAGTTGGTATTCCTTAGACAATTAGCAATTTTATTGGGGCTAGAACAAGGAATATTCATAATTCCTATCTACAACGTATTATATAATTTCGTAATATTATAATTTTATAATTTTATTGCATTTCCATAAATTTTTAAATTCATGAATTTAATAATATGGAGTATAGAGTTATCTTACAATATATTTTATTCAAGCCTATTAAAAATCAACAAAAATCTTGTTGCTATAGATTGTAGTTGTACAGTACTTACTAAAATATAATGTTTTATTGTCCGTCAACTCAATTCATTTTCTTATTTATCAGCTAACCAAATAAATACATCGTGGGTATTGTATTATAATAATATAATACCAGTGTGTTTGACTTATAGCTATAAAATATCATATTCCCGTACGATCACGATGAGTTGCTCAGAAAACCAATCTGTTAACTTGCAGTCGACGGAGACGGAAGTCATGCAGAGCGTATTTGCCGAATTAACAGATTGGGGCGTATATCGATTGCGCCGAAATTACCTTTTTACCTGTAAAAAATCTATCGATTGCGCCGCGTATCGACTCCGCCGAACTTTTTTACATATTGATTCCTCCGAATTTTTTTACATTATACAGTAATAACAACATGTAAAAGTCTTATGTTTACATTTATGTTAAAATATATTTTATTTCATTAGTAGGTACACACTATAACTTACTGTAATTTGTAGTTAACTCGTAACAAAATAAGTTGAAGTAGAATAATACACGAACAATGAACATATAAGTTACAAACTACAATACAAACTAATTCGTATATAATAATAAGAGGACTAAACAACAAAAAAATGTGTAAAAGTAAAAATCATATAGCAAACATTTTTGACCATTATATAAATAAAAAAATTGATAGATTCACTTATATAAAACTAGCATCAAACCACTATTTAAAAAAATTACCAATTTGTATATATTTGTATTGTTTAATTTTTTTTTACCTTACCATAATACGGAATTATTATTATTAATTAATTATTTAAAAAAGGTGGGCAAGTGGGTGTCGCTCTGCTGTACAGTAGGTTACAAGTGGGTCACTGTATAATGGATGGTATTAAATTTGAATTCAATGATATAATATCATTGTATAAGAAAAACGATTCTTAGCGGTGACGGTATGTCAGTCTATGTATAAGACATATTATATACATATCTATGGTATTAAACCAAAATTGACCTATAATAGGTACCTATAATAAATTACAAACTAATCATATCACAATATCCATTAGATACTTATAACGCGTTATACATCAACAAAAACCGTGATACTATCATAGATATATAATAGTACACTTTAGAAGTTTCAAGTACCCACGAATAATATTATTCAATCAAAACGAAATAACTAAAATCGTAATTCTTGGTTTAAATATGAAATTTTGTCTAAATTTGAAATTAAAATGTCTGTAAAAAATAAGTGTGTTTATATATTTTTTAGATTTTTTGGTTACAGTATGAATTATTTAAGAGAATCTTTGTTTTAAATTTTCAACTCTTAGTTATAAAAACTGAACATTTTATAATTTTTTAATTCCAACGATTGATAATTTTCGAGATTTTGATAAATTTTGTCAAAATTCCAACTTTAAATGCTTATAAAAAAAAATCGTGCCTATGTATTTTTAATATTTTTCAACTGATATTGTAACAATATATCAGGAGCCTTGTATTAAATTTTTACACTTGTTGGCCCAACAGATAAAACTTTATTGATATTTATAGAAAAAAAAAACTAAAAAAAATTGAAAGCTGTAAATGTCCATAAACAGCTCAAAAAGAGTCAAAATATTTTCAAAATTGTATGGTGTATAGGAAATGATAATATAAACATTCAGTGAAATTTTCATGTATCTACAGTTATTCGTTTTTGAATTACAACAAAATAAGGAAATCGCTACATGAGAAATCGAGTGAACATCCAATGTTGTAAAAATTTGAATTTCAAACGCTCATAAAAATTTAATTTAAATTCCGGTAGAGATTTTTTTATTGATAAAGGTAGACAAACTTATGAGTAATCTTATATTACATTTTCAAATCTTAGATTTAAAAAGAAAAATTTTTACGAATTCTTAACTCAAAATAATTTGCTAATTTTCGTGATTTTTCCATATTTTGTCAATTTTTGAACTTTAAATGCTTGTAAAAAAAAATTGTGACTAAGGATTTTTAATATTTTTCATCTGCCTTTGAAACAACATATTAGGAGCCTTCTATTAAATTTTCAAGCTTTCGCAACCAACAAATAAAATTTTATTGATATTTCTAGAAAAAAAACTAAAAAAAAATGAAAAATGAAAATGTCCCTAAACAGTTCAAAATAAATCAAAATATTTTGAAAATGTTATCGTGTATAGAAAATGCAAATATAAACAACCAGTGAAAATTTCATGTATCTACGGTCATTTGTTTTAAAGTTACACCAAAAACCAAATTCGATTTTTTGGAAAATCGATTTTGCGTAAAAATTCCCGTTTTTCCTTAATTTTTATGTTGTTTTTCCCGGCGCTTGTGAAAACTACTGGAAAATATTTACTTTTGACCCCCCAAAGTACCAACTAGATTCACTTTCCTATCAGAAAAGGTACTATTGAAGAAAATCGAAGCACTTTTACTGTCCCAAAACGTGATGACAGACACAAAAATATAAAAATATAAAAATATAAAAATATAAAAACATACATCATTGTAAAACCAATACATTCATCGCTCCGCTCAGAATCTAAAATATAAAAAAAAACATACATCATTGTAAAACCAATACATTCATCACTCCGCTCAGAATCTAAAATATGACGATCTTACTTCATTTTGTAAAACTAGATATACTAGGTTAGGACGTTAGGTATATGAGTTATATTATTTTATTATTTTAATATATATTATTATCTGTTTTGGACGACAATGTTTGAATTGTTTTTATTCAAATAAAACTTAATTTATACTATTATGGAAAACTAAGTGTACCCTAACCTATACTGTTAATTAAAAAAAAAATTCTGTACAATATGATACTTTGGTATTAGTTACATAAATAATACAAAACATAAATCAACATAAATAAAAAACTGGCGGAATCGATAGTCGGCGGAATCAATATAAACAAATATCCGGCGGAATCGATAGCCGGCGGAATTGATATTAAAACGGCGGAGTCGATAAAACCCCGTTTTCACGTTTCTGAATGGAAGTTGTTGCACTTTAGTCGGTACGTAACCGGACCAGCCTCGATCGGTTGCCGATACCGTTCCTTGGAAAACATGACCGAACCAGTCGCTATTAGCCGCCGATACTGGTCTGAGCCAAACGTGACCGGACCATCAGCGATTGACCACCCGCGGTCCACGCCCGCAGACGTCAACTTACTTTGCAGAGGACCGAATTATGCTGAAGCGGACGACACCGTCACGGCGGAACAGCCGCCGGCAGAGAGCAGCCATGAACCTTCTGACACGGGGTCGATGGGCCTCGTCGATCTGTTCGACCTGCAGCCGGCTGACCATGTATACCGGGAAATCCCGCTGCCACCAGCTGACCCGTCAACGTCCGTCGACCTTGTGCTCGTCCCGGACAACGTTGTCGAGGTTCCGGAAGTCCCGCCGCCGTCAGATGACCGGACAACACGAGACGAGACCGTGCCGGAACTGCCAATCGTTCCCGCGGCGAGTTCCGGCCAGGCCGAACTGGAACCGGATACCGCCGACAGGGGCCGAGGTGACGACGACGCAAGCCGGGCGATGGCAGCCGTGGATGACCCCGCTGCCAAATCTAAAAAACGCACTACGCTTTGGAGACGGACCAAGCGAATCGTCCGTCGCATGTTTTGTTGCGGCGTTTCAGCGGTGGTTACCGGTACGTTTCATTTGCAAGTTATCCAGTCGGCCAACTTGACGTGTCCCAACTATTTATTCAGACATTTTTTCATAACATTAAAACAAAATATGATAAATCAAATGTTTTAATTAAACAGATTTCGGTCAAATTAAATACATAACTACCTACTAACTACTAACCTAACCTAACCTGTATATTGAATAGTAGGTTACGACTGGATAACCTAGCTATTTATAATGTAATATTGTAAAACCTAATTGGTGTTCAATTAAAAATAAAAAAATATTTCGATTTAATAAATGTTTTTTCTTTCGTTTAATTAACAAACATAATTTGTAAAAATAACAAAATACTGTTAACAAAATTCAATTTTTTAATGTTTTAAAAAAAAAAAAAATACAATGTGGATTTAACAAAAGGTTTATTAGTATATGATACACGATATGTTTAAATTAATAATATAAATTAATAGATTTAACAAAATAATGTTGTTCGTACAATAAAATATACTCTTAAATCAACAAAATATTAGTTTATTTGTTTTAATTCTCAATGAATCGATTAATAATGAGTATTGTATAATCGACAAACCATTGATCATTTCAAATTTTCATTAGTTGAATTAATCGAATTTCTACTTCTCAATCAATAAGCGTTTTATTAACTGTATATTAACAAATATTTTGTCAAATCAACCTTAAAATTGTATTGAAATAACATGTATATTTTTCTGAGTGTATGTTATTCCGTCGGACAAGTCTTTAACCGACTTGTATACTTTGATTAATAAAGTTTAAAGTTAATTGTTATGCTCAAATATAATTAGTCCTACATCAGAAATATTTTAACTGCACTCATATAATAAGTCCGGACTTATAACACGCAGGCAGTAGGCATCAATTGGGGAATATAAGTCAAATCTATGATAGTCTGGACATATGATAAGTGTGCAATAAAATAACTGTACAAGTACAAAAATTAAACATTTAGGACTTACTACATTAGGGCAAAAATAAACACGGCTAACTGCCATTCATGATAAGTGAAAATAGTAAATATCACATGAATTACTGGTTGTAGAATACAAACACCTTGTAGAAGTAATAAAGTCATAAAGATAATTTAATTTTCTATCTATTGGTATCAAAAAGTGAATTATGGAAATAATGGACTTATAACAAGTATGCACTAACCACTAAGCCATCGATAAATATATATATATTGTACTTGGATCTTACGATCCGTTAGAATTTAAATAAATAATTAAAAATAAATTTAAATAAATAAATACCTACAGCAATCCTATAATACAGAGTGATTCACCAAGCATACTCAGTAACCACTCCTTCATGTATCTACCTAATTCAAAATTCGAATGAGTATTTTCTTAGTATTGAGGATAATACTAAGTAGTCAAAAATATAAAATTAACTTTAAATTGGATCTAATATTTGATTTTATTAGAACACAAAGTTAAATACGAGTAAATATTCGTAACTCAAAAGCTACTCGTACGAATTAAAATTCAGTTACATCAATATTTTCAGAAAAATTATCTACTGTATAATTTACAGTTAAAAATGGGTGTACTTATTTGAAAAACGGAAGTTTGCATCTCCACATGAAACTAATTAAGTAGTACAAAATATCTTAAGAATTTGAAAATGTGGTCTTAAAGTATATTTAAAAATTCCAAAAATCAGATTTTGAATAACAGCATTATTGAAGAAAGAAGGCAGTGAGCATGATAGATGGATGAATCACTCTGTATTATTACTTTTAATTTCGATAAATATCCAACAAATACAGTGGAAGTAGTGCACCTACAAAATGTTTTCGTATCATAATGAATCAATCACTCCATAAACTATTTAGACACTAAATTAAAAAAATATTCTAGGGTTTTAAGAAATTGTCTTCAAATTATCACTTTTAATTATTTTATATAGTGATATTATTGGTAGGGTAAGATAAACAGAAGAAGTTACATAAGTTTTTCCACCTGTAACAAAAAAAGTAAAAAATATTTATACTTGAATTTTCCATACATGGTAAAATTTTCAAACTATTTTGACTCTTTTTGAGCTATTTATAGTCATGAGACAATTATTTTGTAAATTATTTATCAGTTTAAAATTCATAAAGTTCCTTGTCCCTACCACTTTTTTTTTATAAATTTGTAGGTAAAAATTAGATATTAGAATGTCTATCACAGATATAAACTACTGTAAATTATAATTTACATTATATATTTGTGATGTCTATACATTTGCGGACTAATTTGTTTGGTTAAATTTAGTATGCGATAAATAACTGAAATAGACCACGATAATTTCTGTAAAAGAACACACGATTTATCAATAGACCGTTTATGTGCTGAGTGTAGAAGTTCTATGGATTTATCATATTAAAAAATATATTTTATATCATCTATGGCAATAGCCAATTGTCGACATTGATCGTCTGCGACGATTAACAATTCTAATAATTTTAGTGAACAAAAAAATAATAAGCCATCAATATAGTCATATAGTTCGTTAAACCGTACATATTATAATGTAAGTTTTAACACGAATTCGCACAATTCGTTATGTTTAGGTAATTTTCATAAAATATTTCGATAATTTCAAGTTACAGTTCGGAACGAGATGAAGACGGATGAAGATAGCTGTTTCTTCTTTGGCGTCAAGTACTCTAGCTAGGTTTCACCGGAAGAGTCGATGTTTAAGCGTAAGTTTGTTTCCATATTATTTTGGGAATTAAGGTTACTTTTTTGGCATTTTAATAATTAAAAACATAATTGTATTTTTTTGAATTTTTTAAATTTTAAGGGGCCTGCACGCGACCTGTTTTTTTGCTCAAAAACATGCCTTACAGGAAAAACTCTCACGCCTCGTAGATTGGTCCGATTTCCGTAATTTTTTTTTTGTTAGATAGAGGAAGACTTCTTACAGGGCGCATTGGACTTGGATTTTCAACATTATTTTTCTAAGTCTTATGTTACAAGTTTGAATTTAATCAATTTTTACAACTTTTTAGTTTTTGTATTATTTTTTGTTTTTAGCGACGTAATCAAAAATCGAAGTCCAATGCGCCCTGTAAAAAATATTCCTCTATCTAACAAAAAAAAAATTACGGAAATCGGACCAATCTACGAGGTGTGAGAGTTTTTCCTGTAAACTGTGTTTTGACCGATATAATACACCCTATCAACCCCCCCTAAATAGGTATTGGGTAGTAGATTAGTGGAAAAGTCTTATAATTGAGGTGGCAACTAAAATATAAAATTTAATTTTCAAATTTTATAGAATTGCGGAAAATTTGAAAAATCGCGAGCAGGCCCCTTAATGTAACATTTATTATGCCTACACAAAACACTTACCTACCAAAATGGAATTTTTCACAAAATTTGTTGTCTTAACGATAAATAACAATTTTAGTTCCCTATTATGGTGAAAGTATTTAATACAAACAAAAATTAATGTTCGAAAATACAATTTCCTATATTATTATTTACTAAATACAATATAAACTTAAAAATAAAACTATGATCATTGATTACATACAAAGTACCTATAAATTATATTATGCATGGAACACGAAGGTTTATTTTGACTACCTACCTACTTATCGTATACGCATCAAACACAAAAAAGAAATAATTACAAAAAAATTTAAAAATCAAATACACATCATAGTAAAATCAAAATATTCATCGCTCCGCTCAGAATATAAAATATAAATTATAGGTACCCGATACAATTAAATTAACATAATATTAAATAATAATTAATAATTTTGTGATCAGCAGTATCTATTCGTAGAAAATGTTAGACTTGGAATTTTACAAATCTAGTTGGTATCATGGTAGGTACTGTACTACTGTAAATGTAATGTACTTAGGCACTGAATATCTTTATGTTAACTCTAAAATGCAGGAATCACATTTTCATTTAATGATTTTTAAAATACAATATTATGCTTTTATAAAAATATGCTTGTACTTCTGATATATATTCACCATATTAATAAATAATTAAATTAAGAAACGAAAATTATAATTGAAATTCAAAATTATAAACTATTTTGATTTTTGTCATAATATAAAATTTCAACAAACAAATATTGTTCCTCAGCACGGAACTCTTTGACATAAGAAGTTGCGTTACCTATATGATATCCGTGGATTCATCTTATTCACGTACCTAGTATAATATCTATCATTTATATTCCATGGCAAATCTCAAATTCATTGCAGAGGACACAGTCGTCATTAAAAATTCCAAAATTTCAATAAGCAAAGCCGATATGAGCAAACAACTTACTGCGTTCCGTATAATTTTATTTTTCATCAATCACAATATTTTAAGTTCTGTATATTATGGAGATTTTCCTCGTCAGCCTCGCAGTGAACACACGTAACGGATTCAGCCGAAAGAATCGATGTTTAAAGTAAATTTGTTTTCATATTCTTTTGGGGCTTAAATTTACTTTTAAGAATTAAGATAAATATTTAATGTCACGAAAAATGTGTTTTCCAAGTGTTGTAAACGCATATTTTAGTTCCGAACAATAAATGTATAAAATAAGCGAAATACAAACGTCCTCGTCGATAATAGTCATAAGATACAATTTTAATTTATAACTGGTCATTTTTTTTTCAAATCCAACGTTATAAGTTATGGGTAACTATTAACTTAGTGTAATATACTCAACTTCTATTGCTCACTTAATATCTATATCATAGGAATTAGGGACGTATAACCATGTAATACTAATATAATTATTAATAATAATAAATTCATTTATAAATTATTAAAATACAATCGAACAAACGAAAAACGATTCTGAGCAAAGACAGTTATAAATAATATTGTGATTAAAGTAGGTAATTTATTTTACTATTATGCATTAGTAAAACAGTAGGTTAAAGCGATTTGTGCCTAAATAGTTACATTTGAAAGTGTCATCGTGTATATAAATTACAATGATATACTCTAAAAGTTTCATAAATCCACGAATAATTACAATTTTTAAATTGCAATAAAATATCTAAAATCGCTATTCTTTGTTTTAATAAGTAATTTCTTAAAAATTTGAACTTATAATGTCTGTAAAATTGAACTGT